GCAATGATGGTGCCAACTTGGGCCAGTGAAGCAACGTCCTCCACAACTAGACTGAAGAACAAAACGACAGCAACTTGTCTGTTCTCCTTCCCCCTATTCCCCAGCACTGTTCCCATCCCCCCAATTCCCCAATAAAAAAATCTTTAAAAAAAAAAAAGATTTAGAAGTAAAAATGGATAGCACAAAAGTAGTAGAATAAAACATTAATTTTTTTTTATCTCAGAGAAAAACTTCCTAGGCAAACCACATTATCCCAGAAGCCTTAAGAGACAGTGTTGGCAGATACGATGACACAGAATGCAAAATTCATGTACATAAAAATAAAGTGTCAAACAAGCTGGAAAAAATACTTACCATACACGGCAAATGCTACTTTGCCTCATTCAAAACAGCACTCTTACAAATCAATAAGACTCACACCCTAGGAAACCAGAGAAAGGCTATAACACAGATGGCTTTTGAAAAATGCAGCTGTTCATGGTCACTCATAAAAGTTAACAGTTTTCGTGTATCGGGCAAACAAAAACTAAATTTTAATACAGCATTGGTGAAAACAAAACATAGCAAACAAGCACTCCAGTATGTTAGAAGCATAACATGAGCTCGAAAAATGTTTGTTAATTTGTCAATATCTAAATAAAAAAAATAATTATATACCATTTGATCCAACGATTCCACTTCTAAGAGTTTATCCTCCAGATAAAAATCACACCAAGACACAAATAAAGGGTATTCACTGCGGCCATGGTTAGCTACAAACAAACGTTCCACATGCTAGAAATCATGGCGCATTCATAACAAGGGACATTATACAGACAATGAAAACAAAGAGGGAGAGAGATGGGTAAATACGGAGCCATCTCCACCCCCAAAACAGTAAGGGACACACCAGTGTAGAAAACGCAGTTATGCTGGGGATACAAGATGTTACCTCTGGAAGGAGGCCTAAGGGGCTTTATCACGAGTGGTTTTGCCTCTTGGAAAGCAAATGCTGGAAAAGGGGCAGGAGGAAGACGTCCCTGTCAAGTTCTCTCCTTTTGTATTTTGAACTTTTGTATTTTGACCATTTTACCATGTACACATATGGTAATTGTTTTAATTTTTAAAAATTCGGTGGGAAAAAAATAATAGTCACATTTGTACCACGGACTGCATTTTTTCACCTCTTGCTATCACCATTTTTAGTGCTGATCGGAGTTCACTGACAAGAGAGACCGCTGGTCCTTACAAGCTGAATTGAAAAAGAACTCTTCATTTGTTAAAACTAGCATCGCAGGTTTCCCAGCCCCACGTAGAGCAGGGTGCATCAGGCCAGTGGCCCCAGCCACGGCTGACACCCTTAAACAGGTTTGTGTGCTTAGAACCACATACCCACCACAAGGGCAGCATTCCCCAGGTTACCAAGCATCTGGTCTGAGCACCCCCGCTTTCCTGGTATAAGTGTGCGGTCTTGAGAAACAGATCCCCATTTGTGACCTGCACTCTCGTTAGAACAAGCATAAGGCAGAAAGCCTGCAGGCAGACAAAATACAAGTCTCCCTGACCTCCACAAACAGAAGCAGCAGTAAACAGTACTCAAGGAACAAATACCAATGAACCTTTTATTAGTGAGGTATTTAATCGCATTTTATAAAAACAAAAAAAAATCCCACAACAAACTGAAGATTCAAGGCCTAATTCTTCAGATGTATGGTAAAAAATATCTGAGAATTCCAATATCCTGGAACTGCTACCCCATCAGTTAGGAAGTCACACAATGTACCCGAGAAGCTATTTAAAAATGGCTTTTTATAAGGCAAGTCAATCATGGCTGAGTCTGTGTGTGTCACGCCGCTGCCCCTCCGGGCACCAGCCCAGCGTGGGCTTTTCTTTTGAAGGCTAATTTGCAAAGCCTTCTGCTCAGTCAAGGGCACTGCTAAGTGCCAAGCTTGATGAGCCTCCTGGGAGAAAATGCAGAACCTGCAAAATGCAAACAGCTCAGTTTGCTATGGCTTATAATCAGGGCAAACTCTATAACAAAAGGTCAAAGTTTACAGCAAGAGAAAAGAGGACGAGGTATATGTATGTCTGAGGGGCGCCCACAGCTCCTTTCAGGAGGGAATTCTCACAGTGCGTTTAGAGTTGCTTCAAGCCTGGGAAATGGTAGCTCAGCCTGGAAGCCCAGCCCACCTAAGTCATCATTAGCATTTGGGGATCACTGCAGTTGATCCAAGCTGCCAAATTACCCACCCTCCCCCTCAGGAGCAGCACTGGGCAGGGAGGTGATGCTGACAGGTGTGGTGCCAGGAGGCCCAGAACCCAGGCCAGGGCTGCCAAGTTACTCATGGCTAATTTAGGCAGCAGACCATATGAGGAGCCCCAAAGGTCCCCCACATTTAAATTAGTAACAGAACCAAAACTTTGCTTCTCTGTTGATCTCCTCCTTTTCTCCCTTGCTCATGGCACAAATTCATTTAAAACCAGCTGAGGAAGGCGTAGGTGGAACCTTATTATAAACACTTATTGAGGATCCATCCCACCGTTATCTCCAAAATCTTCAGCTATTACCCCTCATGAATACACTGTGCTTATTTATAAATACAGAAATCCCATGTCATAGGAAACTATTGTCAAAGTGTTGACATTCACATCCAAAAACCTCTGGTCTTTATACCAGTCGAAATGGAACATGAAGGCACGCTTTAACTGGGATGGCCTGAGCAGAGGCCACGTGACCTCCACTGGGTGGAACCCACTGTACCCAAGAACTCAAAAGCCCATCAAATGCTGCTTCCAACCGAGGTCTCAAAGGTCTCAGTGTCATTGCATTTCAGCAATATGAAGAGAACAAAGTATAAGAATTAAGTTGCTAATTTGACACTCAAGATTTCTGGGAGAAATACCCACCAATTGATATATGGCATCAGAGAAATTTTACTCTGTTCTGATTAAGGATGTCCGGGCAATCTGGACTTGACCAGGGTGGGTCTCTGTTAAAGTTAAGCACGCATGGGATGGGGAGAGGGTCTTCAGGCTGTGCGCGCTGTCCAAGGCGGGGGGCCACGCTCCAGCTCCAAGACAACCCGAGCTCAGGGTCCTCACTCGTCAGGCACTTCCCGGAGCCCTTGGCTGTGGCGGCCCCGCCCACTCATCTCCAGCAGGATCTGGGCTTCGGGGTCCACATCGAGAATGCTCTTGCCGCTGTTGGCCTTGGGGAGAAGGGAAGGGTGGGTGTGTTCAATGACCGATGATGTGCAGCCAGGAACAGGCAGTGACATTCTGCTGGCTTCAAGCTTATGAGAATGGATCAATAGCTTACTACTGCCACAAGGGAACGTAGTGGGGGGCTCTGGTTCCCTCCCTGAGGTCCCCCCAACTCTGGCATGCCATCATTAGGAGATGACAAGGTGCAGAAAGGCCCAATGATGACTCATCATAGAACCGCAGAACTAGAAGGAACCCCGACTCTCCTCGTCTTGCAGACGGGCCACGCACCCACCCCCGTTCCCACCTTAAGCAGGGCCCCTCTTCCCAGGGCTGTTCATTCTGCTAACCCCCCTCCACAGACCCTGACAGAATCAGATACTGTGCACCTACTGGCATCCCTCGGGCCAGCAACAGCTGCTGGAAACAAATTCAAAATAAACTATCTCTAGATGGAGGAGTAGAAAAAAAGTGGAGCAACGACCCCATGCTCACCAGCTCCTGCCCCGAGGTGTCTCCAACTGCCCACACCTCCATCTTCTCAAACCGGAAGTCCTCCTTGGCCGACAGCTGAGGGCTGTTGTATGTGGTGCACGTGGGCTTGGCCTTGCTGTGTCCTTTCCCGAAGTCAACGTCGAGCCACAGCCCGAAGTAATTGTGCTGCCCTCCCATGCCCTGTGAAGGGAAGACCATCAGCGTCTCCTCCGTCTGAACGTCAGACCCTAAGCCCACATCAGCCTTAAATACCAGTTGGAGACGAGGGCAGATGAGAAGTGAATGTCATTTTCTTTTCTTTTCTTTTTTTTTAACTCTGATAGATTGGTGCAATTTCTATATCCCATTACAAGTTACTAAAACAGTCATCGAGGTGTCCGCACTCCCACCCCATGGCTCCTCCTCATGGGGCTACACTGGCTGACAGCAGAGGACAGAAAAAACACACACCATCAGGGCCCGGAGACCCAAATCTCAAATAAGGGGAGAGGTCAACACAGAACTTGACGATGGAAACCTGCAGGCAGGGACACATCCCCTACAGACCAGGACACTGTGCTCTGAGTATGTAAGTCCCTCACTCAGTGCATCAACTACAAGGAGAGGAAACAGGGAGAGGACCTGGGGTTGACTCAAGGCTGTTCTCCCACTGCCAGCTCTAAGCTCGTGTCAACGAGAACAGAACTGCTGTCCCACTTCTCTGGGTGCCACCTCCACCGCCTCTTCTCATGTCCCTGGTGGCCTGAAACTAATCTTGAGCAAGAGACCAGAGCAGGAACATGCAATTGACTCTCAGAGCTGCTTTTCTCCCCCCCCCCCCCCCCCGGCTGTTTACTGGCAATTCCGGGGACCTACTGGATGCTACTCTTGAGGCCAAAGCCCTCGCCCCTGTGGTCACCAAACCGCCCTTTCTGGGAGGCATCCAGGGGTCCTCAGGTGGCCCCGTGGGAAGCACACAGTGAGCCTGGGAAGAAGCATGGGGGTGCTCTTTATCCTGATGAGGGGGACCAGCCTTCCTGGCCCCTGGCTTTGGAAGCACAGGGTTGGGATTTCCCAAAAGGAGCTTTTTGTTAAGAAGCAGAGAAGAAGAAAAAATAGGCTAGGGTGCTGGCAGGAATCACATTTCTCACCCACATTAAGCTGGCTTGTATGTGCTGGGCTGGTGTGTGGATATGGGCGCCCAGCCCAGCCCCTCACCTCAGCCTGTCTCACTTACACGCCCCGCCCCTCTCCCACCCTTGGTCTTCACCTTGGTCCTCCTCTTCCTGGAGCTGAGCCTCCAGGCTGGAGCACAGAACAGACAGGAGGTGCGGTCACCCCTGCAGGAATCCCACACACTGTTTTTTGAGTTGCTGTTGACAACTCCCCATGGATCTGGGGAGCCTTGGGTGTGTCCCCTCCCCCAGCTCATCCCCCAGGTAAGTGGCAGGGCAGCAGGGCCTGGTGACTGGTCTGACGTCATGTGCAGCCATTAGGCCACAGGCCCACCATCTAATTACCAGGGAAACTCGCTAAATCCACCATTTGTACACAAACCACTGAAATGCCCCAACAGAGGCTCTCTCCTTCCATGAGAGAAATTCAGACCTAGCTGTCGCTCATCATGGCCCCGACACCTGGGCAGAATGAGCTGAACATGGCACGCTACGTAACTGAATGCACACAGCTTCCCCTGACGTGTCAGGAAGTGTCATCCTGGGCGAATCAGGATGGATTCCACCAGGGATGGGCACCACGAAGCTGGGACGTCCTCAGCCCTTCTCCAGTCCTCACCAGTCCATTTGGGATGGTCTGCTGCCCGTGATTCAGGTACATGTAGTGGTTGTTGTAGCCTGTACAGGTGTGCACGGCCATGCTGGGGGAGATGGAGAACAGGAAGCATTTGTTGTCCCCTGAAAATGACCAGAGTGCAAATGAGCAGGATCACTGATCTGAGCTGGGTACGGAGAGCAATAGGAATTGCACGCAAGCCAGCACTTAGAAGGCAAAGCAGCGACGCTTGTCACATGGGCCTACAGATGTGTCCTGAGCTCGCACCCACCTGGGAGCTCGGCCATTGCAGACCAGTGGGCAGTTCCCAGGCCTCCCAGAGGACAGGTCTTACGGCTGCCCAGGACACCAGAGGATGAGCTGAGAGTTGGAGAGTGAGAGTGACAGCTAAAAAGGAGCGTGACATATGCTTGCTGGGGACACCTTTTAGCTCTCACCGGGGAAGCAGAGATGGGAGCTCTGCCCACTGTTCACCGGAAGAATGCATCCTAGTCAGAAAGGAGGGGTGTCCTTGAGGAGCAAGGCGGCAGGTGGTCACACTCCAGCTACTGACTTGGTGCTAACACACCTCCTCAAGGCAGCACTTGACACTGTGTAAGATTGTCCCCAGCCTAAAAGAGCGTATCATCCAAAGGGCTAAGAAAACCTGCAGACACACAGCCGTCTCACAGGGAAAGAAGGTGACAGGCAGTGAAAGGTGACCATCTGCCTTCGTCCAAGGACACAAGCGTGATCATGCTGCCAGAGAGAAGTCACCAGTCAAAACTGTGGAAATGAACAGCATCCTAAGTCTCAGAGTTCTCTTCCTTTCTTGATTCATTCATTCCAGAAGCACAGTCAGCACCAGGGAGAGGGGTGGAGGCCACACTTTGCCCCCAGGGAGCTCCCAGCTCAGGAGCGGCCAAGCCAGAAATGGCCCCCACAGTTGTGAAAACTTGGCCCGAAGGTCTGCCCCTCCATAGCGACAGCGTGCAGGACACCTGATGTCAAAACAACACGTACAAGCCAACACAAGACTCAGTTCATGACACTTGGGGGTCAGGCCATTCGTGAGGCAGGAAAGAAGGTTCCAGGAAGTAAACGGGGGCACAGATGTGGAGGACGGACACAAAGCGGGATTCGAGCCCTGAAGGGCCACAAGGAGAGGCTAGCCCTCAGCCTCAGAAAGGTCTGGACAGGCAGAGGTGGGCAAGTAGAGCTCAGGCCTCAATCCAGACAGATCTACGGGGGTGCAGTTGGGGGGCAGGGGTCAGGGAGCCTCTGAAAATGCTGCATTAATGCCTCCAAGGTCAAGGAGGAAATCCTGAGATGGAGATGGCTGAGGTGAGAGCCACTCCCTGGAGGAGGGACCCCAGCAGGGACAAGGCACATGGGGGAACAGCAGGGGTCATTCCCCTTACTGAAGAGTTTGTGCACGCTGGGGCAGGGAAAGAAGGGAGATGAACCTGGAGAGGTCACCTGGAGCCATGACAGTAGGCTCTACTCTAGGCGAAGACTCAGGTTTGAGTCCAGGGGCCTGGGTGGGTGGCCCCAGCAGGCTGGAGGCAGTTTTAGGCACGATGAACTGCCCCCAGCATTGGGCACAGCATCGCTTTGCTATGCAACCCTAAGGCTGTCTTTCAACCAACATTTACTGGGTCCCGATGCTAAGCAAGGTGACGGGGCTACAAAGTGGAAGCCACTCAGCTGCAGTGGAGCCCACTCTAGTCCATTATGGGGCCTACACTCAGCAGGGAGGCCAAGTGGGGGAAGATTCCTCTCTAGGACACAAGGACCCAAGGCGTCAGTGTTACCTGCAAAAAAAGTCACGTCAACAGCGAGGCTCCCCACGTATCTCTTACAATAACAATACTCAACAACCACCCACTGCGACCCAGTTTACAAGCTGCTTGCCCAGAGCACCATTTCACATAATTCTGGGCAACTGCGGCCCAGAGAAAACAAGCACCTTGTCCAGGAGCCAGCGCTGGACTCATGAGGCTCTGTGCTCAGTCCAAAGCCACAGGCCTTTCAACTACACACCACAGAAGACAGCGCACACGTGAAGTGAGCCAGCGGCTATCCCTTCAAACCAAGTCTCAACCATTAGAAGTGCCGGTTTCTTGGACAAATGGACAAGAACTGTCTCTGAACTTGACGGGACTCTGTGATGCAAGACTGCCCTCTGCTGGAATCCCATCCTCCTATTTCAGAACAGAATGAACTCGAAGTGGAGCACTTGTGTAACTGCCTTTTCCCGCTGTTCTTCAGGAAGATTAATTCTGCTTGTTAATAAAACATGAGACCCCGCAGGGCCAACCTGGAGTTAATATTAAAGGAGCTGGAGAAAGCAGGAGCTTCTATAATAAGTTTTACCTATGGGTATAATAAAACTGCCCTGGGTCCTCTCACAGTAATAAATCGTGACCCTGAGTACAGCTATATGCTGAGTCCGTGAGTCCTCCTAGTGAATCACTGACGTGTGGGTAGTCTTAAGACCCCTGACACAGTGGGGAAGAGCTGGTAGCAGTACCTGGGTTAAAGATCTGGAACATTCTGAAGCCAAGAGAAAATAAAATCCTAGAAAGAATAGATAAGAGGTACCCAACCTTCATCTTAGGATTCCTTCCACCCGTCCCAGGCAAAGGGCCACCTGCCACTGCTAAAACCTCTCCAGTAATGACAACTGTGCACCTGGACGTGGCTCCCCAGCCGGCAGAAGCGCTGCCTAGCGGAGGGAAGACAGGGACAATCTCAGATGCGTGCAGTGTGACAGAGGACCACAGGGAGGACATGGCCCTCGCATGGCGGGGACGGCTTCCTGGAGGAGTTGACCTTGGGCTGGGTCCTGACAAGAAGCTGGCTGTGCAAACAGGGAGAAGAGGGAGAAAGCAGCACGAGCCAAGCCCTGAGACGAGAGGAACAAGGCCTATTCTGGAAACTGCAGGGAGTCCAGTGAGACTGAGCACAGAATGCAAGAGACAGGGGCAGGTCACGAAGGTGGACATAAAAGGTGTGCCGTCCTGAGGGCTGTGGGGGGTCTGTTCAAGGGTTTCCAGGAGAAGAGCACCACGTCAGGTTTGCTGGGATGTGGCAAGCAGGCTGGATGGGTGAGACCAAATGCAGAGAGGGCCAGTGAGAAGGCAGCTGCATAAGGCTGCTGAGAGCAAGATGGAGAGAAGGGGCGGGAAGGATGCAGGCAGAATGGATGGGAGCTGGTGACCACCTGGCTCGGATGTGCAACCCGTCCCAGAAGAACACAGGGCCTCTCTCCTCCATCTTTCGCATCTCAGACCCCTGGATCCTCCCTTCTACTGATCCAGCCAGGGAGGGTATGAACCTCATCTCCTCACTGGGAGAGACCCTCCCCGGAATTCATTTAGCCCATGGGAATGACAGCAGGGCTGTATCCGGTCTCTCAGAGCCACTAGGAAAAGCCCTCCACTTCACAGCCACTGGCCCCTGGGGTCCCTACTGAGAACATAGACTTGAGCAGCTGAGCCACTTACCAAGGAACACGAAGTGATACCAAACCCTGGGAAGACAGATTCACCCCTAAGTATGAGAACATCCCACTGCCCAGCAGATGAGTGTTTCAAAACTGGTCCTTTTTCTTTTTTCTTTTCTTTTTTTTTTTTTTTAAGTGTGTTTTTCCAGGACCCATTAGCTCCAAGTCAAATAGTTGTTTCAATCTACTTGTGGAGGGCGCAGCTCAGTGGCCTATGTGGGGGTCGAACTGGCAATCTTGGTGTTACGAGCACTGCACTCCAACCACCTGAGCTAACCGGCCGCCCCCCAAAACTGGTCCTTTAAAAATGTTTATCAGAGCCTTTTCCTTTGAGGAACGAGAAGAATTTACTTGGAGCCATTCATCCACTGCATTCGAGATCCCACAAAGAACTTCCGAACTTCAGCAAAATCACAAAACCTGAAAACCACGGCAGATGCGGCAAAGAGGACACATAGTGGGTTCCAGGAAAGGAAGAGGGTCCCAGAAAAGAAAATGTCCCATCTGAAAGACTCAGCGTCTCCTGGTCCCTTCTGCGGCACCCACAGCACAGCCTCTCCCATGCCCTGGACCTGGCACCATTTCATAAACCTGCAATTCGAGGTGAAGACACCTGTCCTGCTCACCTGAACCTGTTTGTCAGAATCAAAAGAGAAACCCGTGAAGCATTAAACTGCCATGAAGCAGCACCATGTTTCACTTTTCTCCCAAACACACCTAGACAAACACTTGGAGAAGATGGAAGAAATGCTCACATGCTTTTTAGCACTCACGTCCTTTGTCAGTGCTCAGGTCACCACGCCACAGCTGTCAAACCAAAACTCATAACAAGCACTGTGCTACCTCTGGGGTTTTGGGGCCAAGTCTTACCTTGAAACTGAGGCTTGATCTCCCAGGAGCAGGAGGCAAACCCACCGAACACATGGCCGTCATCGTCCTCGAGAAGTAACACACAGGGCCCCCGGCGTGGGATGCGCCCACAGAGCTGGGCGAAGCTGTGCCCGTGGAGCTCGGACGAGAAGAGCAGATGCCAGCGGTGCTGCTGCTCCCTGGGCAGGTGGGAGTTGAGATAGATGACCGACAGGACATCCAGGATGCTCTCAAACTCCTGTCCTGGGTCAACTTGACGCTCGGGGACCAGCGTGGCCAGATTGAGGGACAAGCGCAGGAGAAAGCCTCTGTGGATGATCACACTCAGGAATGTGGCCACGAGGTGGGCCCTGAACACCCAGTGCTCGATCATAGCTCGGTCACAGTCACAGTCCAGCCACTGAGGCCCCAGAAGCTTCTTACCGTCTAGTGGAGAACACAGTAATAATGGGTGATTACATCTCTTTATATCTACTCACCTCAACCTGTGCTGTCCAACATGGGAGCCAAGCGTGGTTTCTGAGCACTCGACACGTGACTCTCCCGAATTGAGATGTGTGGTAAGTATGAAATTCACAATTTCAAAGACTTGGTATGAAAAGCAGAATGTAATATGTCTCAATCATTTTTTCACATTGATTGCCAATGTTAAATTATATTTTGGATACATTATTAAAGTTAATTTCACTTGTTTCTTTTTATTATTTTAATGTGGCTACTAGAATATTTAATATTTCACGTGTATCTAGCTTTGGTGCTTGAGTTTTTGGTGCTTGCTTTGGTGCTTGATTCACACTGTTGGACAGTGTGAATCTAAACAATTCAACATCAACCCTCTTATCTTTTTCTCTACCCCGAGCTGCATTTCAGAGGCCCAGGAGACAGCCATGTCCTCACCCGGGGCCCAGATCTGAAAATCCCAGCAATTATTCCTGAATGCACTACATCAAAAGCTACTTATTCATGGCTTCTGCCCTAACAAAATCATTTGGAAAGAATATAGAAGTGCTTTGTTCTCCAGCCAAGGGTAGGGGTTGGTAAAATTTTGATATCCCTCTAGGTTATCTGGAAGAACAGGTTTCAGTCACTACAAATTATGCTTAGTTGTTTCAAAGCAGCATCTATCACCCTGCTTTCTCTCTCTAACTGACAAAGAATGGAGGTAATATGGTGGTGATACCAGAAGAAGAACTACAGGTACTGTGTGTGTGTGTGTGTATATATATATATATATATATATATATATATATATATATATATATATAATGTTATTATTTTTTCCAAGTTCCAAATACTTCACTTAAATTTTTGAAATATAACCTATTTTCAAACTGCATTTAAAAATCCAGCTTTATATAATTAAATAGTAACACTTTTATAAGACAAGTGTACTTTGCAAAGAGATCCACCATGAAGTGTTTTTAAATCCCAAGTAAATTTAAATACATACTGTTTCTCACTGAATAACAGAATACACATTCTTCTCAAGTGTACATGAGACATTCTCCAGAATAGACCATATGTTACATCATAAAACATGACTGAATAAACTCAAATGGATTGAAATCATATAGTGTATGTTCTTCAATCACAAAATAAAATTACAAATCAGTAGCAGAAGGCAATTTGGGAAAGTGCACAATCACGTAGAAATTAAATAACACACCTCTAAATAACCTATAAACTAAGGAAGAAATCACAGGCAAGTTAGAAAATACTGAGAATGAATAAAAACAAAAACATGACACATCAAAACTTATGGGATACAGCTAAAGCAGTGTTTACAGGGAAATTTATAGCCATAAATGCCCATGTTGAAAAAGAAGAGATCTCAAATCAATAACCTAACCTTCTAGTTTAAGAAACTAGATCAAGAAGACAATACCAAACCTAAAGGAAGCAGAAAGAAGGAAAGAAAAGACTTGGGCAAAGATAAATGAAATAGAGACTAGACAAGCGACAGGGAAAATCCACAAAACCAAAAGCTGGCATTGGCTCTTTGAAAATATCAACAACAAAAAATAGACAAACCTTTAGCTGGACTGATCAAGAAAAAAGAGAAGACTCAAGTGGCTAAAATCAGAAATGAAAGTGGGGACATCGGGCCGGCCGAGTGGCGTGTTGGTTAAGAGTTGGCTTGGGACGCCAGCTCTGAGCAGCAGGGCCCAGGTTCGGATCCCACATAAGGGCCAATGACACTGTGCCCTTTTACAGCTAAGATAGTGAATAATAGCTCGACCTGGAGCTGAGCTTCTGTGAGTCACCAGCGATGGCATAGGCTGCAGCCCCTGCTGCAGTGGGCTGCCATGGGCTACCGTGCGTAGCCAGCAGCCAGCGTGAGTGGCCAGCAGCTGCCGTGAGTGGCCATCCAGGAGCCGGCAACTGATCTGCCTCGCCTGGGAAGAGTGCAATGGTGGTGCCAACTTGGGCCAGTGAAGCAACATCCTCCACAACTAGTCTGAAGAACAAAAGGACAGCAACTTGTCCGTTCCCCTTCCCCGATTCTCCAATGCTGTCCCACCCCCCATTCCCCAACAAAATCTTTAAAAAAAAAAAAAGAAAAGAAAAGAAAGTGGGAACATCATTACTGACCTTGCAGAATAAGGATTATAAAGGAATACTACAAACAGTTGTATGCCAACCAATTAGACAATCTAAGTAGTCCTCCCAAGGTGGAAGACTCACCCTTTCTGATTTCAAAACTTTACTGCAAGGCTACAGTAATTGAGACAGCGTGGTACCACTCTACACCACCAAGGTCTCCGTGTGTGAGCACACACAGGTCACTTGCCTGCAAGCTTCATCTCGGAGAACAGCTGAGCTGCCAGCACCTGCACGCTGGGCGGGGAGCCTGGGGCTTTCTTCTGAGTCCAGCCTCTCAGTTCCTGTCTGTGGTTTAGCACGTGCACTACAGAGCCAACCAGATCCTCTGTAAACTTGAAGATCACAATTTTACCATTAATAACATTTCCACAGTGACCGATGACCTACATCAAATCAATAAGGGGAAGGACATTTTATCTCTTTAATGCCAACTACAATGGCCATGACGTGGGAAAAGACAATGTAACTTAGGGAATTATTCCTTTTTCTAATGCTACCCTTCGGCTGGTCTATTTTTGCCAAAGCCTTTGTCCAGAGTTCTGACCTCAACTAGTTATGTGGCCTAGGGTTCCCGGAGGGCAGACATCTCCACCATGTCTCCACCAGCTGCTTCATCATCCTGAATCCTCCACCTAAGGCCACCGAGACTCCTTGGGATGGCTGAGGTGATGGGCCTCATGGCCTCTCTACCTTTTGGACGTCTTTTGCTTTCACAGGACCTTCTGTGTTAGAAATCATTTTCAGGATCACGAGACTCTTCTCCTCAGAGTTCCCTTTCAGCAGGTGGGACATCGAAACTGTGAACTGGTCCTGGAAGACGCTCTCGCTGGGCCCCTTAGCCTTCCCTGTCAGGTCAACCCTCCGCATGCCGTCATACAGTCTGGTGACCATCTCCGGGGGAAGAGCTTCCGCGATGCGGCTCTGTTGGGGACAAACAGGAGAAAAGGCTGGACAGGGTGCCAGTTAAATGTGGTAGGATCCCAGAAAAATAACAAGGGGACCAAGACCAACCACTGCTATGGCGCAATGCTGCTACCTTCCTAAATCCCCACATGTAACATCTCTCCCCCACCCAAGGCCATCACACCACCCAAGGATCCACGAACCTAACACATCTTGGCTTATGATTCATCCTGCCCATCAGACACTTCCATAATCTGTCCCCAACCCTCCAAACCCTCCAGTTTCCCCAGAGTGGCCATGTCATTCCTGCCTCTGGCCATCATCTGCTCTTCACTCTGCTCAGAACATCTTCGTCATTCTGCACTCTGACGGCTGCCATGGGCATGTCTGAATTTATTAGCGTATAGAGCATATGTCTGTGTATAACTAATTTGGTCTCCACTATATTAGAGACTTCCAAATTAGCTAGCTGTCACTTCTTACCCAAGTTCTTTGGGCTCAATATGTATTTTTAATTTGTATTTAAATTTAAAACCTAGTTCTTGATGAATGTCTTGCCAATAACATTCTGTAAATATTGTTTTCTTTTTGACTCCAACATCAGATCAGATTTGGCCTAGGGATTACAAACAAATGGTGACAGAAAGCAAATCATGAACTCAATCACCAATTTCTACCATAGTCCAGTCTGAAAACTGGATTCTCCTGTAACGACTCCCTCTATCTACACTGTGACATTGATATTCTGCAGTTCTTTGTAAAGCAGGTTCCCACACTCACTGCTCAAAAAGAGTATACCTATTTCTGTTAGTGTTTTCAAAGTTCTACTGGAAAAGCAGCCTTGAATTTCTCCCCGAAGAAAACTTGATTTAGTTGCCAAGGTTTTCTGATCAACTTTTAACCATATTTATCTTGATAGACACTTGTGAACATTGCCACCCATTCTGCAGTCAAGTCCCTCATTGGCCCATCTGGTTCTGTCTGCTCCAGCGTGGTGGGTGACCTGGCAGACAGGGGCGCTTTGGGTCCAGTGGAGATACACGTGCACGCACATGCGCGCGCACACACATACACCACAGAGCTGGCCAGTTTCCTCATCTGTATGGTGAGTATGTCGGGGGATCCCCAAAGCCCAGTTGGCTCCCACTCTGCATGTTCTAGAAGCAGAGGCTGCTAGAATGCCTCCCCACCTTGCCTTCCCTCCCACTGCCCAGGAAGATGGGCTAATATTATCCCTTTCCCGTGTCTTGCCTCAGTCTGAGCACTCGGACCCATGGTTCAAAGCCCCGTGGAACGAGGCCAAAAGATGGGGAAATAGGTAGTTTTAACTTTTTGTCAGGTGAACCTTAACTTTGAAAAGGTTATTTTGTTATTTTGTTAGGAGTACCGTAAGATTCCTAGGCCATCAAACACTTACAAACCCTAATAAAGTCAAAGGAACACTTGAAACTTTGCGGTTACTGGACCTACGCATCCCACTAAGGCAGTGTCACCAGGGGGGAAGTCAGGAGACAATGGTCAAGACATGGGAAGTAGGGCTGGCCCCTTTGGTCAATCTCAAGTTAGAAATGTCCCCAAAATACCACGATATGAAGGCAGAGCAGAGTTGCTGCAACACAGACCACAGTAGCCCACTCAGCTAGAAATAGGTACTATCTGACCCTTTAGAGAAAACAAATGTTTTAGTGTTCCCATACACCTTTCTTATAGAGAGTCGTAAAAAACGGAGAGCCGATTTTGGCCTGGGGGCCATAGTTTGCAGACTCCTGCTCTGAACTAAACATTAACTGATGACCGTTACTCTTGCCTTCAGTGCCTTCAGAGAGAAGGATCTGGGTGAGGTATTTGGGCTGCTTTTCTCCGATGACAGAGCATCAAACAATCTATCCATCTCGGCCTGCTCCGCAGGAAGGAACTGTGAAGACACAGTCTGCCCCGGTCGGCTTTTGCCATTCCCCATCTCTCCCAATACCTGGCAGGATTCTCTGCAGAAGGAAAAGACACCAAGTTAGAGCGAAAAATCAAAATATAATAATCGTAGAAAATAAACATTGGTAATTATATGATCAAGTTAATATATATTGATCTAGCTGTACAATGCAGCTAAAACACATCAGAGCTATGTACTATTATTTAAATGTGGTGGAACTTAATAGTTTAAAGAAGTGTGAAAACCCAGTCCTGATTCCTATGATCTCTGAAAGTATGCTCAAAATTGCCAAACAGTCTGGACTTCTTTATTTGAAAAGAGCAGTTCCCAAGCTAATGTAACTAAAAGATAGAAAAGTCAGTCTTTTCATCTAAATATTCATTTTATTAAAAACATGAGTTGAAAAAAAAATCTATAAGGCAGGATGATCATGCTGTCGTAAGAAACGTCCAAACCTGTAGAGAATTTTTATGAATTTATTTGAGCCAAGTTGATAATTACCAGGAGGCAAAATCTCAATGGATTGAGAAAAATGCTCCAGAGAATGGCAGTTATGTAGCTTATTTTATACATTAGAATCAAAGGAGGAGACGTGTGGTTTACATGAAATCCACTGATGGTAGACTAAGCGGGTGGGAGAAAGCAAAGCAGGAAAATCTCTGGGATTGGATAAGAAGTAAAACAGGGAGACACATACTTCTTTTACATGGGTGGGTACAGAAAAATTAATAATTACCATTTTGCAGCACATAGAGATGCTATTGGGGAACAAGATAACAATGAGGGGTTCTGTGGTCTGTGCTCTGGTGAGGAGGTTGTGCCCTGAGGGGTCTGGAAAACAAGATTATGCTGACATCTCAAAAGTATGTTATTTTAGATGCAAAAAGACAATAGACAGGCTCACTTAAGGTAAGGACTGACCTTTGTCAAGGCCTAGGATGTGACTGCCTGCCATGACTCCCTTTTAGTTAGGAATTTTTATGTTCAGACCATTCTACGTGGTTATGTTCAGTCTCTGAGTTTGTAGGGCCCTCCATGCAGGCCTCCCTAAGATTGCCAGGTTTAATATGTGGCCTCTTTTTCACCCACAGTCACAACTATTTGAATAAAATCAACACCTTGGAAATATCATCAACAAAGGGAATATGCTATTTGACAAGTTTTCCTTTGTGACCCAGGCTCTGCCTCCTACTAGCTGTGTAGCCTGGTGCAAGCTACTGAAACCCTGTGCCTCAATTTCCTCATTTCTAAAATGGGAATAATCACGGCCCTACCTCAGATGCTGTTGTGATAATTTCACAATTATCACTCTTCAGATTCCAGCCAGTGAGTTCAGCAATGTTTGCAGAGGCCAGTACCCAAAGGCAGGTGACTTCTGTTCATTGTCACAGACCTCATTACAGAAAGGGGTCAAATGCCAACAGATCTGTGGATTCAAAAAGAAAAACAGTCAGTTTAAAATTTTTCTGGGCCAGCCAAGTGGCTCAGTTGGTTAAGAGTTGGCTTGGGAGCGCAAGCTCTGAGCAGAAGGGCCGTGGGTTCAGTTTCCACATGGGCTAGTTACACTGTGCCCTCTACAGCTAAGATAGTGAACAACAGCTAGACCTGGAGCTGGGCTGCCGTGAGTGGCCGGCAACGGTGTACGCCACAGTGGGGCTGCAGTGGGCTGCTGTGAACTACCATGAGTGGCCGGCAGCCAACAGCCAGCAAGAACTGCCGTGAGCCACTGTGAGCAGCTGTCGAATGGCCGGCAACCAATTACCTCAGCCGGGAAGAGCACAATGATCATAATACCAACATGGGCCAATGAAGCGGTGTCCTCCACAACTAGACTGAAGAACAAAAGGACAGCAACTTGCCCGTTCCCCTTCCCCGATTCCCCAATAAAATCTTTAAAAAAAAAAAATCTTCAGTAGCAAGTGCGGTGACTTCTTAATTCCTGTCCTTACTTTATCTGAAAACTCGCATTAGGGACATTGCTGGAGAGACAAGCACTCCATAAACTAAGTGAACCCAACAGCCAACAGTCTCCCGCCGGGTCCGTGAGGGAAGGGCGGGCCGCCTCAGCTGGCACCGAGCACAGATAACAGGCCCAACAAGTACCAGCTGTTCAAAGCCTCAAGGGGAAATTGGGTGCAGTTGGAATCTTTCTTTCTTTTTGTTAAGGTGAGGCTCACCTAACATCAACTTCACCATTTTAAAGTGTCAACTCAGTGTCATTTAGTACATGCACAATGTTGTGCAAACGCCACCTCTATCTAGTTTCAAAACATTTCTATCACCCCCAAAGAAACCCTGCATTCATTAACAATCACTCCCCATCCCCCTCCCGCACCCCTGGCAGCCACTGATGTGCTGCTCCGTGGGATCTGCCTACACCGGATATTTCATGTAAATGGAATCATACCGATATGCTGTCTTGTGACTGGCTTCTTTTCACTCAGCACAATGTTTTCAAGGTTCACCCATGTTGCAGCACGTGTCAACACTTCATTCCTTTTCACGGCTGAATAATATTCCAGTGTATGGAGATACCACATTTGGTTTATCCATTTATCTGCTGATGGACATTTAGGCTGTTCTTACCTTCTGGGTAGTGTACACACATGTTCATGTCAGCACGATTCACACGTACTTGTTTGAGTCCCTGCTTTCACATTCGGGGGGTATGCACCTAGGAGTGGAATTTCTGGGGCCCATGGTAATCCGATGTTTCACTTTTAAGGAACCACCAACCCGTTTTCTAGTTTCCATTCCCAGCAGCAGAGCATGAGGTTTCCAATTTCTCCATATCCCCTCCAACACTTTTGCTATTTTTTCTGTCTTTTATTATCACTGCCACCCTGAAAGGGGGACCTGTCTGCCCAGAACAGGAAGGCTGCAGCAGAGGGCTCCTTGGAGAAGGGACTGTCTGTCGCACACTTGCAAAGGCAGGCTGAAAATGAGGGCTTCCGCAACCCAGTCTGGGGCTGTCACTCACAGGCCATCTGATCTAAATGCTTCCACTCAAGTTTCTCTGCAGCGTAAGAGCCAAGAAGGAAACCTCTGGCCCTGGACTCAAGGTCCAGCCGGCACAAGGCTTTCCTCTAAGATACAGGGGACGGCAGCAGCTGGTGCCTGGTCCCCTCCAGGGGGCACAGCCCAAGCAGCCACACCAAGGCAGACTCATCCTCTCCCATCAACTCTTCTAAGAGCCCCAAGAAACAACTTGATCATTTAGGACTCGATTAGGAAGTGAGCCATCATCACTTGATTTTTAAACGCCCACTGACTCCAAAGGAGAGTAAGAAAAGGGTGTAAAGCAAAGGGAGAAAGTAGGCACCTACATCAGTGATTCTGCAGTTACTGTCGCATATCCTACGTGCTGTATGCATTATGAGGCAGCCTAAGGCAACGCCCAGGAGAAATGACAATAGAAAATATATCCACGCCCACTGGCTGAAGTTAAGCAAGAGCCCGTGTAGTCAAAGCCATGTGTCCACGTGGCTACAGCAAGGAAGCATGGTGGTCTCAGCAAGAGCGTGTGAGGGGGGCTTGGGATGGGGTTGGGGCTGCCTTCCTGGGAGGCTCACAGAAGGGAGAGTTCAGCCTGGATTGGGTGTGATTCAGTGACTGGGTGTCTTATTAATTTTTAACCAGATGCAGGAGGGATAGAAAAGGGCTAAAGTTATAATTAGGAAGGACACTCCACCATTCGTGTTTCCCAGGAAAGGGGGCTGGGGGAGCTATTTGGGGAGCTCATACAGTGATCTTATCTCTGTCGGTACAGCACGTTTCTGCTTTGGCTTTGTTCTGTCGCAGCTTTACATGTATTACTGATAAATCACAACAACTTTAGTCAAAAGTATTTTGACCACACATACACACACACAAATTTGATTCTCTCAAAATCTGGGTTAATTTATCAGGTCACCAGAAAATTGGTCATACAATTCTCCCTGCACCCTATCTTGTTATTCTGCTGAAATCCTGAAAACCGTAAACGTATGAGAATGCACCCTAGTGAATTCACTTCATTCTTTGATAGGGTCTTCATAGCAATGACCACCACACTTTTTCACTTCCTCTAGAAGACCTTAAGGTTTGTGACATGAGAAGGCTCATGACTTACCTAAACGCTGGAAGAGATGTCCGTAGTCTTCCTGACACCTGGGAGGGAAAGGTTTTTGAGACATTAGCACAGCTTCGCTTCAGAGCTGAGCTCTCAAGGCTGTGCCCACCCCAGACAGACCCCTGAGGCTGGCCTCACAGATGCATGTGGTCCCTCTGGGCAGTTCCTCTCTGCCCCTCGTCTGGCTCAGAGGGCTCGTGCTGACCACCTTGCACACCTCACCCTCCTACTCAGCCTTCGGGTTCCAAGACCACCCGGCATTTGTGACTTTCCTAGAGTTGACTGTTGCCTTAACTTAAATGGAGATAGGCCCATCTTCACTCACTCTGCTTTCTCCCCCCACCCCACCCCACCCCACCACTGGCCTTACTGGTTGCCTAGAATCTGAAAGTCACAAAAGAGACTCTGTCCCACAGCCACCTGCCCAGCACCTGAGCCAGCCTGGCACACACAGGCACAGGATGTACCTGACCAATGACTGTGTCATTTGTGGCTAGCCTCTCAGGTGGACCGGCTCATTCTCCCACCACCTTGTGGGCTCCCATGTGCAAATCCCAGAGGCTGGCCTGGCCTAGCTCCCGAGAAGGCCCAAGACCCCTCGTTCAGCTCCCACAGGATTCACTCCCAGGTGCCCACCTCACTCAAGGGTCCCTTGGATCAGTGCCACTCGCTCTACCACCCACAACAGGTTCCCTGCCCAAGGACAGGCTCCAGGAGCTTCATCTCTGTACCCCACGGCCCACCAGGCCTGGGCCACGGCAGGGACTCAGCACATTCACTGAGCCACCTCCACCCGGAGAAGAACACAAGCCCAGAAGCCACCAAACAGAGCACACAGCAAGGACGGGACCTTAAGCAGATGCCATCTCCAGCTCCTAAATCGTCGCCATCTAAATGCCAAATCCCAGATTCCCAGAATCCTGAGAAAGCTTCCTCCCCGCTCAAAACGAAGGAATCACTCTACCAGGGGATACCAGCCTCTTTCAGGGGTTTCTCACTCTCTGCCCTACTGATATTAGCTGGGGCTGAAAGGCCACCAACATCTAAATGCCACTCTATGGAAGTTTCCACGTGTTCCATGATTGAGGCATCAGTGTACCCAGGGGCTGTGCCCCTAAACGGGCCTAGTTCCCGCCTCCTGAAGGACACTTTCTGATGTCAGCGCACGCATCTATTCCTTCAATGTATAGCTAAGCATGTCCTGGGCCAGGCCCCATCAGAGACAGCGGGTGACACTGAGAAGGCTCAGGCAGGCCCGGGCCTGCAGAAGCATCCTGTCCAACAGGGAGAGAGCCCAGTGCTGTGGGGACCCGTGGGGACTGGGGTGAGGAGAACACAGGAGTCATGACATGTTCTGACTGGGCCTTCCGACACCCACAGGTGGTTCGCCTGCAAAGTGGGCACCGTGCGCACAAAGGTGTGGGGTGAACACTGAGATCAGCCAGGTGAGGTCTGGTGTGGGGAAGGTACCAGAAGGGGCTACACAGCTAGGGGGGCCCTTGTCTGCCCCTCCCTTCCAGCCTACCCCACCTCCTCCTCTGTCCCACTAGAAACAGCTTCCTCCACTGTGGTATGTAAACAAATCAGTAGGGAGCAGCCTGGCCAGGTCCTCCGCCGCCCCAAACAGTGAGAAAGGAACAGGCTGGGCGAGCAGCCCACACAGACGGCAGAAATACACAGGATTGGTGCAGACCATCAGCATGGGGGTGGGAACAGGGCGTCGCCAGGAGGAGGCACCAGGAAAGGCCCAGAAGCAAGGCCCACTGGCAGCCCTGGTTTTTTTCCAATAGGAGGAAGCAGGGTATATAGCAGCTTCAAATAGGAGCTTCGGGCCTATAGAAGGAGGGGCGGCCTCTGACAACATGCCCCTCACCCCTGCCCCACCATTAAGTCTACAGGGCACTGGGGAAGTGATGCATCTCAAAACAGCTCCAAGGGCAACCCTACCTCCTTCTAAAGAGCTCCTGCAAGGCCAGATGAAGTAACGGCAATGGTACAAAATGTTCCCCAGTTCATCCATCCTAAGCTCGATTGCTTTAACCATGCCAGGAATCTCTTTAATCGACTTTGGGGAGGACATGGAGGCCTTTGATGAGTCCTTACTTCTCCCCAAATGCAAGTTCCTGAACTTTCTTTCAGTCTCCAGCAATGGTTTTCTCATGGGGCTGTCCTGGGTACATCTCACTACATGGTACAGCCTTTTTCCTGGCAATTTGTGCATAAAACCACCCTCTGCTGGCCTGAGTCTTCTGTAGGTTTATACATATCAAGTTCTCTTTCAGGAGGACGCACCACATTGTTACTCTAAGATTGTTCACACCAGTAGTTCTCAACTGGAGGTGGTTTTGTCCTCCAGGGGACATTTGGCAATGATTTTTGGTGGTTGCCACTGAGGAGGGGGTTACTGTAGGCATCTGGTGGGTAGAAACCATGGGTGCTGCTAAATATCCTACAATGCACAGGACACTCCCACCCCTCCCCCAACAAAGAATTACTTGGCCCCAAATGTCAGTAGGGCAGAGGGTGAGAAACCCTGGCGGCCAAGGATGTGGGGTCATGGGGCACAATGGGGGGGGGCGGGTCCATACTGAATCATATCCAGAACATTCCCCTCTCAGCACAGGGGCCCCAGGCTCTGAAGTTTGGTGTAAAGCAAAGATGGGCAAATCTGAGTTCAAGTTCTGACACTTGTTGGTTTTACGACCGTGGGCAAGTCACTAAGCCTTTTCAAACCTTAGTAAAATGGTGGAAATGCCACCAGCCCCATAATGAGGTGGAAAGGATTACATGAGGTCTTGCCTTGGAACAAGAGAAACAGTCCAGCTTGGAAGGAACAAACTCCCTCAGTGCTGGGGAGGGCACCAGGAGCCCTTTTCTGCAGAATGGGGCCTGCAGTTCCAGCTAGCATCCTAGGGTAGCTCAGTCAACCCCTTCTCGGAGCCTCTCCAACAGGCTCCTGTCCTGGGGGTGCTCTCCACCCTGGCCTGCCAAACTCTCACCCCCAACCTCTAAGGGGCCACTGTCCTGAGAGTGGAGATCTGACCCTCAGCACCACCTTTCTGGGAAGAGTCCAAATGCCTCATCAGGACAAAAGTACTTCAAGCCCTGTTTACATCCCTTCTGCAACCAGCAACTCTTCTGCAAAGGGTCATAGCTTGAGCCTGAGCCGACCTTCAGGCAGTGCAGAGTCCCTGCTGACCAGAAGGTGACCCGTCCTGCCCTTGGGGGGCTGCCTCACTCCAGGGAAACCCACTAACTCATCTGCAGAGGTGTCAGCCTGGGGGAGCTTTCTTTTCCTCTCTCCGCTGCCCTGAATTTAGTGATCAACTCAACTAACCTGGGAAAAAGGAAAAAGCTAGTAGGTTGTGATCGCAATACAAACAGGAAGATTACCCCTGAACCACACACACACATACACACACACACACACACACACACACACACACACACA